GTTGTTGTGGTTGTGGTGGTGGTGGTTGCTGTTGTTTGTTTGCTTGTTTGTTTGTTTGTTTGCTTGTTTGCTTGTTTGCTTGTTTGCTTGTTTGCTTGTTTGTTTGTTTGTTGTTGTTGTTGTTTGCAATGCCCAGTGTTGATCACGCGGGCGATGATGCTGACAAGGATAACGATATGGATAGGATGAAGGCCGGGGTGAGGATAATGATATCATAATGCGTATGCTTGTGATCCTGGCTATGATGAAGTCGATGGTGATAGTGCTGAGGATGCCACTGCTGATGCTGTGTCTAGTGGATGGCCTTGCAAAAGGTGAACATTGTGTGATGGTCGTGGTCGGCATCGTGCAATCGGTTGTGCTCACTGCGAAAAGTAGGGCATTTTCACAGAGGTCATGCTGCCCTGCGTTGGCCCCGGATTGGATACTCTTGTCCAGGTGCAGGCGAGCGATGCTGCAAGGGCGCTTGAGATCTGCAAGAAGCTGATCAACCGTGCCCTTGCAGATGCCTGAGATCAATTGAGATCAGACACTAAGCACGCCGATCTTAGTGGCTCCGGGCGTTTTGCCAACACGGTTCGCACGTATCCCAGAAGCTGAAACTCCCGAATCCGAGCCCACCAAGGCCGCGCTCGACCTGGCAATCCGAGCATTTGAACCTCAGCTCCTGGCTCAGCTCAGGTGACACCAGGAACATGAAGCTTCCATGTTGAGCTTTCCCCACGACTTCTAGTCGTTAGTCATCCTAAATCCCTGTTCCAAGTGGCGGAGGTTACTCTGGATGGTTGCAGCCACGTCTTGTCACTTGCATGGTGTTAAAGGCCTCAGGAGAGAAAGCAGCCACGAAAACTCAAATCCCCGCAGCGAAAAAGGCATCCGGCATGCGAAAGCCCGTCAGCTGCAAGAGGACAGACAACAGTTGCTGCACAGTGATGTTGGTTCCAGTAAGCAGCATGCATGTGTTCGCAGCTGAGGGTTTTTTCTGCGGTGAAGTGGAGGCAGTGCATTTGGATGCGAGCCTGCAGCACCTGTGCCAATGTAGCAGACGGGTCTCCCTTGCTGGAGCTCTCAGCTCCGCAGTCCTTTCTGAAAGCATCCCAGAAGTTCTGGAGCGGGAGAAAGCCCTGGCATTTTCTGCCAAATGCCGAATCCAGGACGAGTTTCTTCCAGCCGCTATGGACCGAAAGTAAAGGAAGTGCAGTGGCACCTTGGCTCTTTCACGGCTTCGGGTTTCGGATGCTTGATCGGTATGCGCACACTCGTGGACACACCCCAGCCACAGGATCTCCTGTGAAACAGAGATAGAATTTGTGCAAGGCTTCATCGGAGAACTTAGCAGCATTCGAAACACCGGCGTTGCACGCCATCATGCTGTGATGTCTGTGGTTGTTTTGTTGCATCGCCATTGTCGGTCGTTTTCAGATGTTCACAACTAGCTAACGTCATTGCTAAACAACCATGGTTAAAATTAGTGCAACTGGTACTTGCTACTACTGCTCATGTTAGTGATTCTGACTGCCTTTCTCCCCACATTCAAGCTACACCTGCCTTCCGCGTTTACCAGCTCGAACAATCGCCTGCACGACATGATGATGTCGATGGCAGTGTTGATTTGACATTCGTGTTAGTGCTGCTGGCGATGATGGTGCCAAATGGTGGTGGTGGTGGTGGTGGTGGTGGTGGTGGCGGGGGTGGTGGTGGTGGCGGCGGTGGTGGTGGTGGCGGTGGTGGTGCTGCTGCTGCTGGCGATGATAAATGGTGGTGGTGCTGGTGCCGGTGCCGGTGCCGGTGGGCGGGGGCGGGGGCGGGGGCGCGGGGCGGGGGGGGGCGGCGGTGGCGGTGGCGGTGGTGGTGGTCTTGTTGTGTTCATTGTTCCTGTTGCTGCTGTTGCTGTTGAGCATCGCTATAGAGTTCCAAGGTATGACCCCACAATTACGCATGCCGCATTCCACTTGGAGGACTCTGCTGGTGCGGGAGTTGTTTTCTCTGGGCCTCTCTGACCAGGGTTTGTTTCGATTTCGAAGGGTGCTCACTACTGCTGCGGTTTGACTACCTAAAGGCCAATTGCAAGTCCCACGTCGAACACTACGTTGGTAGGGTGGGGACAGTAAGCCTCAGTAAGCACAACGAAGTTAGCATGGATATGCACTTGCAGCGTGGCATTGGTCACCCTTCATAATTGTGCTTGATGAGGGAGGGTGGAGGCAAGGCCGAAGAAGAGGATGGAGTGCCGATTGGAATATGGGAGTGATGAGGTGTCGCTTACCCATGCGCCAGGGACATCAATGTCCAGTGGGATCATCCATTCCCACAACTTCCATGCCCCAAATTATCTCACCGGTAACAGCATCCATGCCGTAGCCGTGTTAACGTCCGTGTTCAAGTGCAGCCGTTTCACAGAGTGTCCGTCCATGGTCTGTTTAGCCGTTTGGAGGCCAGAACAACCATGGCCCAATTCGGTTTGCCGCCAATGCATCCAAATGGCCAAACCGTGACAAGGTTCAAACTTGGTGCAGAGCACAAGAAAAGCACTGCAAGCGACATGGCATCTTTTTCGTCTCATCCCAGTATGATAAGTTGTTTTCACCACCGCCACCCCCACCGTCGCCACCCCACGCCACCACCACCACCACCACTACCACCACCACCGCCGCGACGACTGCTACGAGTACGAGTACAACGACGACAACTGCTATTAACACTTGCGAATATTCCCAATGCTACTACTTCTCGTCGTGCTCCCTGGGCGAAGACCATGACCACTACTGCTGCTGCGGCTGCGGCTGCGGCTGCTGCGGCTGCGGCTGCTGCTGCTGCTGCTGCTGCTGCTGCTGGTGCTGCTGCTGCTGCTACTGGAACTGCTACTGCCACTGCTACTGCCACTGCTACTACTGCTACTACTACTACTACGACTGCTGCTGCTACTACTACTACTACTACTGCTGCTACTACTACTACTACTACTAGTACTACTTACTACTTACTACTTACTACTTACTACTTACTACTTACTACCACCACCACCACCACCACCACCACCACCACGACTACGACTACTACTACTACTACAACTACTACATACAGCTACTCTACAGGAGGCCTTGTGCCTCAGAGCTGGTCCTGGAGAGCCGACAGTGGACGCCGTCCGCCGCGAAAGCCACCCAAGATCAATCAAGGGGGTGTTCACAAAGCACCATCTGATAAGATAACAGATTGTCGTATCATGAAGCATCGTCCATATTAGTGTTGTACAATACGGCCGATGGGGAGCCACGGGCTGTATGCAGTGTGGCTGCTTCGGTTGGCAGGTGGCTCATCTTTTCTTTTCGTTTTCATCGGCTTCCCTTGTGCAACCTTTTACTGGGATGCCTGTTTTCGCATCAACTCCTTGACGAACACCATCCTGGGCCTGTCAATTCCTTTGCTCGCACCCAGCAAAACTACAAGCAGGCTGCTTCGGATTTTTCTCTTGCTGAACTCCTTCGGCATGTTCACAGTGTCATTGCACTGGTGCTCAGACTTCGACTCATGGGCTATCGGCACGGCCATTTCGACTGTATACCAGACCCTCAGCGGCATCGTGCTTGTTAAGACTCATGTGCGTGAGCACCTTGTCTTCCACGTGGTTGGAGTCGTGGCTTGCTACATGCTTCGGGCTGAAGCTTCTAACTCACTGGCAGACGGCCGCCAATGGGCGGCGATCATGGTGTCAGTGGGGGTAGTGTGCGTCTCCGTGATGTGGCTAGTGGCCAGAGACCTTGCCGGAGAGGTTGCATTGAAAACGCTGGAAGATCATGTGCCTGCTTTGCGAACTCCGGTATCCACGCTATCAAGCAACACAAGCAACCGAAAATCTTCTGGCTCACGCACACCAGGCTCGCCATTAAAAGTGAGTAGGTTTGATCTGCCTGACAATGCTCCGGAGAATTTGGAGCTTCTACATTATGTCAGTGAAGGTTCTTTTGGGAGAGTCTACTGCTGCAATTGGGGCGGCCAGCGCGTAGCTGCCAAGGTAATGGCTTTGCAGACAGGGCATCGAGTCGACCCGATCAGAGAGGCTAATCTTTGCAAGAAGCTCTCCCACGACAACCTCGTCCAGACATTCCATTTCTTTGAGCACTCGGCGGACCCCGCGGATCCTGGCTGCGGCATGCAAGTTTGGATAATCCAAGAATGGTGCGACAAAGGCACGCTTGGTAGTTTCTGCACCATCCCTCGTTGGGATGCGAGGGGCCTGAGATACGTCAGGTGCATTATGTCGGATGTGGCGAAGGCCTGCTGCTATCTTCACTCCAATGGCGTCATCCATGGCGATCTCACGTGCAACAATGTTCTCCTGCAGACACGTGCGCTGGACCAAGCAGGAGAGATAGAGTTTGTTTGCAAACTTTGTGACTTTGGTTTGGCACGGGTCTTGGAGCAGGGTGTCACCTCGCTGATGACCGCACAGCTGGGGACCGTTTCGCACATGCCGCCCGAACTCCTGGAATATGAGGCCGGGCACCTAAGCATGAAAGCAGACGTCTATGCCATGGGCGTCCTGCTCTACCAGGCAGTCCTGGGAAAGGTGCCTTATGCAGGAATGCTGGCACCGCAAATCATTGCCTTCGTTGGAGCAGGGGGCTGCCTCGAATTGCCACCAGAGCTACCTCATGAGGTTCGCAGGATCTTTGAACTCTGCATCTTCGTAGTTAGATCAGCAGCCTTCGACATGTCTTTGTGTGCCACAATCCTAGTAACACCGACTAAGATTCATTTGGAGCTTTAATTTTGCCATAGGAAGTTCATTTTGTCCGTCGGAACTTGGGCATGTAAGGCACAGCAAGGTCGGCTGGTCATCGTCCCTCTGCTCTTCAGCTTGTGGAGCAATGCACTTCGATCTCACCATGACGGGCCGATTAGGCTTAGTCAGCAACGCGTTATGCATGCGTGCCGCTTTGGCCGTCTGAGACGTGCGAAAAGGCCTGCACGCGTTAGTCCTTCTATCAGCGCCATTTAACAGCTGCACATCCCGGGCGGAAGACAGAGAGGAGCCTGCTCATCGATGCCAATGGCAGCCCTCTAGCTGCTAGCTCTACAGGCATGTAGTCTGGCATCGAAAAAGAGGCGTGACGTGCGCGAGATGTTTCTGTCTCCATTGACTTCGGCTTGCACTGGGCACCCACAGCCATCCTCTTTGGAATTTCACCTGCAGCTACATCGATCAGTCAGAGGATGTCGAGCGGCTTTCCGAGAGTAACCTGGCGAATCCTGGCCACTGGCATGAGGCCCGCCGAGGGCTGCAAGAGGGGCTTTCGGGTTCTGCACACTAGCAATCACAATTCGCAACAACAGCAAAAAGCAAAATTATCATGGTGGAAACCATTGTACTTATTCAATCAGCAAACGTAGCAATGCCAGTGAGCAACAGTTGCAGCAATGTGCACTTGTCGAGACGTTGGCAGCTGAAATTGTACAACAGATAACTTCACGATGACAATACTGGCTTCAGGGACACTTCTGCGTTTGCAATTGTACAAAGGGACGTCGGACCCTCTCGTCTTCGGAGTTAGGCCCTGGCAGCGCTAGGGAGGCCCAGCGGAGAAGTCCAAGCAGGACATGGGAGGGCTGACAGGACATGCCCAAGATGATTTCAAGTCTGTGACCCTGCACCTCGAGGCTCCACGGCCGGGCGCACGGCCACCGAGCCACGAAACTCTGATGGAGGCTGGAGTCCTAGACCCTGCAGAATCCCAAGTCAAAGCGGGGAGTTGTTGAAATGTTGGTAGCCCTGCTGAACTACAGCAGCTTATATAGAAGATACGCAAAGCGACCCTAAAATGGAATGAGCCCCAGCTGGAAGTTCGCAAAGGGCTGTTGTCAGATATGGGTTCAGAACTTCGGGGCAACCGGCTTCACGCTCAAGGCTTTGTGCCTGAGCCGTGCAGGGAGAGGATTTGACTGCTTTGCTTGTGGGACATATTGAGGCCTCAGCAAAACTCCAAACTGCTGCTGGAGCCTTTGGAAAGAGAACTTATTTTCCGGCCACCGTCAGAGCCCACGCCGGCGCAAGGCTCTTTGCTTCTTCCTGAGGCTTAGGGTGTCCTATGCTCACCAGTGACAAGATCTTACGAAGAAAGTCACCCCAACCCCATCATCTACGAGGCGGATCCAAGCTGGCCCAGGTCTCCAGCAAAGTGACCTCTGCGGAAGCACACACAAGGAAGGCTCGACTCAGGGTTCGGCCTTGCTGAGTTCTTTTCTTCTGATGGGCCGAAGTAAGTGAACGACCCTTGGCAGGGCAACACTGTGTGCAGTGCAAAAGCGACGCCAGCTTTCGGGCGGCGGGGTTTCGATGCAGACCCTATCTCGTTACCTCAGGTGTAGATCTTCGGAGCCCTGGGACACCATCATTCACCATCATCAGTATCATAGCGATGACCACCGTCACATGCTGGCAGGCTGCAGGCAGACTCACACGGCCGCAGCGCGGGAAACTTGGAAGCGGCGCTCGCTTCTACAGGCTTTGGCCTTAAACAGACGTGTTCCAGTTGCCTTTGTGAGGCTCAGCTTGAAGCACTGTGGATCAGAGCTGCGTGCGGGCTGTTGATTTGTGTTTTTGGGCTGGGTGGAGATCTGGCAATCTGCACGATTCTGTAAGGACTTTTATGGTTTCACACGTGCTCGAAACTCCTACAGTATACTGAATATTGAACCCCGCTCACCCCGGCCCACAACACATTGAATGTCCAAACCATCGCAACTCATCCACGTGGTTGGATCTCTACACATTGCAAACCCATGTTTCAGAGCCTCGGATGATTCAGATTGCCGAGGCGTGGCCAGGATGCCAATCCTAGGTGGCACTTGCCTCTGCAGGAGAGAGCTTGACGATCAAACGACGTGTGGGCTTCGGAACGCGGGGTGGGGTAGCTCGTGGTTTAATAAGTGGATGTTGCTCAAGAGTTTTGCGTGTGTGTCCGTGGTGAGCATTCGAGGGCGGTGCCATGACTGGGTACAGAGGGTAAACCGGCCGAGTCCATGCATTCCTGTAGTGTGCTGGCATGCTGTCAGCAGTTGTGCACTTGCTGATTATGCATGGTAAGGCAAGGAGGAGGCTTGCCAAAGCAGGCAGAGACCAAGCTGCACGTTGCCCGAAACAAATCCCTCTGCGAGCGACCTCATCCACTGATGTCACGCTTCTTTGATTATGACATCCTGAAAGCAAGTGTAGGACCTCGGCCAATATTCGCCCAGACGCATTGGACTGTCAACCACAGATTTGGCAATGACTAGTGGAAAGTTAGATGCTGGCTCCAGACAGTTAACAGGGAGCTGGCCAAGCTTACTAGTAGCACCTTGAACTCTCTGGCTCTCGTTCTGCGATAGCCACCAAGCCACTAAGCCCAGTGTAACTGCTGCGTGACAGGATGCCACGCGTCCGGGCTGTGCCGGCGGCCAGCGGCTTTTGAAGATCGGGGAGGTGCCTTACAGAGAGTGATTAGGTGAGAAACCTCAAATTCGTGTTCGCCGGGCAGTAGCGTCGTGGGAATTTCGGTGTTTTTGATTTGAAAGCTGTCCGAAAGCATGTTGTATTTCCAGCCCGCGATCAAAGATTCCCCAAGTGGAGTCCCTGGGACCTAGCCTGCGAGGTTACGTGATACGGCCAATATGAGCGGAATTGTAATGTAAGAACGGCAACCGAGTGTCCCCGTCCCCGGGTTTTCTACCAGTCTCTGTGAGCGCGCTGCCTGACTCTACGCCTCTACGCGGCAGCACAGCATTAGCAAATTCCTGTGCGCAAACAAGCAAGCACTCTGTCTCCTACGACCGCCTCTGTATGTGCGAGCCAGCTTGGAGGTAGTGGGGTTATCCATCGCATGTTCCACCCCTGCATCTACATCGAAGTCTACTGACGTTCAGCCTTTGCTCTCAATGATTTCGACCGTTCTCCGCCTCATCTGCATTTCGAGTTGTTCGTTTCCTTTGTCAGGGCATGCTGAGCGCGAGCATTCTCGAGTACCTGCTAGTTGCAAGTAGGCATGACTGAAACAGCCTAAATGAGTTGTTGCTACCTGTTGGACATCCAGGAATTCCTCCCTGAAGATGTGTTTATGATTGTTTATGTCCCACTGTCCTGGGCAACCTGACCCCGGTAGAACAGTAAGGTGATTCCTCCAGAGCCGCTTTTCTGGGCGGAGTACGCTGCCACAAGACCCAGGTGCAACGACTTAACTCTGCTGAGTGGTACGGGAAGGCTTTCTAGTACACTACCGGGGAATGGAACTGACAACCATGCCTGCCTTGAGTTATCGGATCGGAATAGGGTCGCGCGTCGACAATCTTCAGTATGTCACGGATCTTTGTGTGACTACCGGAGCAGGGAAAGGCTGTCTACGACTGTCGAGGGGCAACCGTTGATTGAACAGCCGTTGCTCTCTAGCACATTGTGCGCACATCTGCTCAAGAGATTGAGCCCTTAGTATAGCTTATCATACACGTTCGTCGCTTTCCCTCGCCCTACACTTCCCGGTCACGGTTTCCTCCGATAGTTGCAGCCAGTATGGCAGGGTCCAAACGTGAATCCAGCTATGAAAATGCCAACGCTCACAAGAGCAAACTATCAAATGCACGCTGTGCGGGGAGAAGCCATGCTTGCCGTGACCAGCTCACAAAGACCATGCAGCGCACGGGCACGGCGGATGCCCACAACAACCTGTGCCCAGAAGGGGCATATGCTTGAGGGTGGGCTAAAACGGAGAATCCGTCTAGGCGTCATTTGTAGTATAATGCATGATGCAAATGTTGGGCGCAGCAAAGATCTGCAGAACACGGCTTTAGATTTAGCAACCTGCTGTTTTTTGCATCAGAACTTAGTGCGGGGAAATCAGACGGAAACGCTCTCTAAATGCCAGTTCTATTTATCTTCATCCTTTGAAAACTGAGATGTAAGAACTGTGTGAGGCATATGTATAGTGCAGAAACCGAGCATGATCATGAAGACCTGTCAGCAGTTACCATCGACAGCCGTAGTAGTAGTAGTAGTAGTAGTAGTAGTAGTAGTAGAAGGAGTAGCAGTAGCAGTAGTAGCAGTAGCAGTAGTAGCAGTAGTAGCAGCTGTAGCAGTAGTAGCAGTAGTAGCAGTAGTAGTAGTAGTAGTAGTAGTCGTCGTCGTCGTCGTCGTGCTGGTGGCAGCAGCAGTAGCTGTAAGTGTTGTGGTTGTTGTGGTTGTACTTGTGCTTCTGTGTC